TATTACCAAAAGCATTTTTTTTTTTAAATTTAATTAAAGTACATTAGTAGAAGGACAAGTTTATAAATTTTGTAAGTGATAAACTCTCTCTTGGAAAATTTTATTATCAGTTGTTCTTAGGTGCGCCATTATACCTCCCGTTACCTTATGCTTAATAAATCATAATGTAACTTATTCCAACAAAAAATTTCTTTAGAACCAAATAGGGTTTTGAATGCAACTTACATTTGTCATGAAAATGGTTTAATACCGCTTAGCCTATCGAATGTAATCTATTCAATCATAAGTTCATATCGAGTGGTTTATTTTCATTATCATTAATTGAGCACACAAAACAAGTTATTTAAGTTCATAATATTTATAATATTTCACATTATCTCATTTGCGTTGGTAAATAAAGGTTATGTATTTTAAAATAAGTTACTCGAACTTATGGATTTACAGCTAGCTAAAAGGTACAGTCAATTCTCTCTTCTGAACAGTACGTTCCTATATGTAAAAATCTTAAAAGTTCAATTCTCAAATAATTAATTACTATGCTGCTAATCCTGACTTTATAATAAAATTTATAAATATTCTGAAACTTTGTGTTCGGTCTTTACAAGAGTTTTTTATGAGTTCAGATTATCCAGGTTCAGATTTGGAAGTGTTGACAGTACGTATGTCTTAAAAAGAGTGCATCCCGTGATCTTAATTGTCGGTTACTCCTGTATTAATGTTTAGATCGGACCTATAGTACAACCAGGCGTCGCCAAAATTCAGTTACGGTTTAACTTAGTTAAACATATGAAGTGACAAAACTGTACTTTTATTTTACCTACAATGAGTTTTCTATATCTCAGATGATGCAGAAAATAAAAAACATCCGAAACTTTTTTAAGAAAAAACATGTTTTGAATGTTTTGAATGTTTAATAGTATTAAAAAAAAGTAAAAAGCGAAAATATAAAGAAAACTTTACCTGATTTAAAAAAAAAAATGTTTTTGATGTCGATAGCATTACTATACATTTTTTAAAAATCGGATTGCTTCTTACAAACATTTAATTTCACCACTAGGAAATATGGATAACTCTCTTTAATACAGTAATAAGGATCAATGCAATAATACATATCCTTTTCTTTATGAACTTCAGCAATTGTGATTAAATAGCTGATGCTGAAACTTAGAGTATCGATTTGACAATATAAACCCTGCTAAAATTCACATATAAACCCTGCTAAAATTCACACATATAATACTCTTTAATTATCAAATCTAACCTAAATCCTAATCTAACTCTAAAAAAAAAGCGGACAAAAACACCCCAAAAAATTTTTAAATTTTCATGTCCGAATTTCAGCATCAGCCGTTTTCAGCATTAGCTGCGACAATAAATTTAAGTATGGACGAATAAGTTTCAAGTGCCTGTGATGTTGAGGTTACAAATAATTAAAACTATTGAATTAAAAGAAAAATTAGTAAAGGTGCTATTTGTTTATTTTTATTGTAATATAAGTTATTTATATAATACATATATTTTTTATATATTTTTAATAAAATTGATTTATAGATATATTACAATTTATTGAGAAATAGAAAATTTTTCTCAACAAAGAAAATGATTAAACGTGATTGGAAAAAACTTGGGCATTGTTAAAAAAAATGGTGACTTAGAAAGGTTTGAAGCTGTCAAAACTTCAAGACAGTAGTATATATGGTATTTAAATTATTTTTTAAACAAAGCAGTTTCGTCAAAATTTCGTTATTCCTATATTTTTTATGAACATTTCGCCAATTATGGAAAACTAATTTGTCAAAGAATTATTGGATTTATTAAGCGAAGTAATTTAGACCCATGTAAAGAAAGACTTGGAATGGGCATAATTCGAACATTTTTTTATTGGCGATAGTTTTAACATCTTTTTCGAAAATTGAATTAAAATTTTCATTTTTATTAACCTATATATAATGAGAATTAAATAACATGCAATTTGCTTGGGCAACGCTAGGGAGGATAGTACCCCCGCAAGATGATATTGGCATATTCCCGAATGTACAGTACGTTAAAACATCATGCAATAACAATAGTCAATAAAAGGGAGAATCCCGACAGGTCATAATCCCGACAAAAAATCCCGACAGCTAAAATCCCGACAGTCAATATCCCGACAGTTAAAAATTCAGACAATTAAAACTCTGATAAAAAAGATTATAGACCATTGCAAACTCTATCTTAACCCAAAGTTAATTAAATTATAAGAGTCGATTTCGCTTTAAACATATGGGATTTTTTTACATAAAAATTCAAGCTGTTGGGATTTTTAATTGTCGGGATTTTCGACTGTCGGGATTATGACCTGTCGGGATTTTGACCCGCACCCAATAAGGGTTAGATTGCTTAATATCTATGCTCTTTTCTTGAAGTGAAAGAGCGAACTGAGCTAATAGCGATGCCAATAATGATAGTAATACTACTTCGATGATAACATTACAAAAACACGCTCTAATTATTATCTATAATAGTTTTAGTAAACCTAATAAATTAGTTTAAAAAATAAATCATTTTGAACAAAAAAGTTTTTTCGAAGAAAATTTTATTTATGATTAAACCTTTTAACTTAATATTATACTTCTAATAATATATGTGACAAAATACATACAACTTACTTCGTTATAGTGAATAATCAGGCCAAAAAAAAATCTTTACTATATCTGCCTAATCAAATAAGGATATGAGAATTACTGAAAATAAAGAACCTAAAATCATAGTTGTAACATCGATTAAATGAAATGGCTTTTTAAGAAACTTTATAAATTAGATGTGACAAGATAAAATTAATGATTATTAATTAGATTAATAATAATAACAGCTAAAAAAAAAAAAAAAAAATCTGTCTGCCAAGAATTTAGATGCATAGGTAATGCAAAACAGAAATCAACTTTTGCACCCAATATATAAATCTATAAATTTTTTTAAAAAAATACAGTATAATATATTTAAGTTTAGTTAGTAATGCTCTGGATCCTGTTACCTAGTACAGTAGTATAGTGATCGGTGTTATTACGTACCCAATCCTCAAAATGTTTGATCACGCAATCAAATTTCGTATATACCAGATTAAAGTCAATATTAGGATTATGATTAGAACATTTCAGGGTTTACTGTAAAATTGCACAAGGAACGTTTTTAACTAGTTTAGTTTCGAGTTTTAAGTTACATCTGATCTTAAAGTTTGACTACGTAGTCAAAATTTCAGGAAGCACTTTTTTTTATCGGTATCGGTATTATATTTTTTTTTCTCTAATTGTTAATTATCGTACGTACACAGATTATTAACTATCGTACGTACATAGTATCGGTATTTACTGATGATGTGTTAAATCGAACTTCGATTTATTCATGTGTCTAAACTCTAAGCCACAATTACGTATAACAATAATACGTATAACAATAATTAAACGAGGCTGTGCTTAAATAAAATGGCTGTGTTGTTGACATAAACTAATTTTTTAATTATTGGTTTGATAACAGGTTACATCATTGAATGCCCTTATTTTGTTCGGGCCTTTACAAAAGAATAAGTTACTTAATACATTCATCAGCCGCAAGATATGTCTTAAATTATAGAAATGACTTAAGAGGACGGATAGGCTGATAAATATTGGTTTATTTTGGTTTATTTTGGTTTATTTTTAGAGTGAGGATTGATACAGCAAGTTTTCATAAAATGCAAAAATCATTAATGGCTCGGAGAATATGGTTTCCATTCGGTGAATTCAAGCCGAAACTATTACGGACTCATTTTAATTTCATTAGATATCATTAGATATCATTAGGTAATTTTCGATCAGCAGAAGGATGATGTGATGTCATATACAGACTTTCTCCTGGTTGTTCCGGATCGACTCTGGGAAGGCTTCGTTCAATCCCCAGTGGTGGTCCTGGTGAATCATTATACAAGGTGGACTCGGTGAAAGGGTAACTTTCAGATTCTTTCTCCTTATCTTTCAAATGAGCGAGATCTATAGATGATCTAGACCTACTAATAATACCAGATTTATAAGCCTTTGGCGGAATATTGTAAGAATCAGGAAAAGAATCAAAGAGCTGAGTATTTAACTGAGGAAAATGTGGAAGAGTTTGGGGGGTAGCGCTTCCTGTTGACAGAGGAGTGGAAGGTTTTACTTTTTGATCTGTTTTCGGTATAGGGGGCGCGGACATAGGTAATGACTCCTTTGAAGCGCCACCTTTTAAGAATATGTCAGAATCACTATCAAGTAAACCACTCTCTGCTTTATAAGATTCAAGTGATTCATCCTTTTTCATTCGTTTATTAGCAACAAAGAACAAAGCGGCAGCCGTAATTACAAGGGCTATGGATGCAGTGCACAGCACAGTAAAGATAACTGCAGACGGTGTAGGAGAAAGTACACCCCCATTTTCAGAGGTG